ATAATGATATGAACTAATAGATACGGATATACAACACATCATTTTTCGGATGAACTTTTATCTTTTCTTATAGTATCTGTTTTGTTAAATGCCAACATCCTTTACTGGGATCATGGGCGGAGCTAGGGGTAGGCCGACCTAGGCCATGGCCCACCCCAAATTTTAAAAATGGCTTAATTTTTAAGGTAAAAAATTTCGTGTAATTTTTTTTCGACAAATATTCTTTGTACCAGCCCAGTGCCCTGGCTCCGCCCCTAACTGGGATAGGTTTCGAACATGTGACCTCCTCTTTGGGAGTGTCACAGTGATGCCATTGAACCACAGAGTGTTTGGCATATACGACACAATATTATTCATTAATTATTGTATCTTAACATTTACTTATTATTATGCATGGACCTATCTCGGTTCCGACCCTGGACAACTGGTCCCAGAAGGTGGCTAGCTATGTACCCTAGAATCGAGACTAGCACCGGGTATATCGGTTCTAAGTCAGTTCTGGTCTAGTCTCGATTTTTGATTTATTTATGTTTTTGAACCCTGTCAAGCCCCATCCCTACCCATTTTGGCTTTTAAATGGATTTAAACATATTTAAAATGCCTATAATCCTTTGATATGCAAAAAATAACACATAAAAAGACTGTACTAGGACTAGACTGGTTGGTTTCGGTCCCCAAAATCACTTATCAGGTCCGGCGCCAATAGCGGACAAGTCTGGTGCCGGTCTTTGAATCAAACGGGATGAAAAGGTCAGCGCCGGCCCGGTCTCGGGAATCAGAACAAATTAAGTCTACTTAGAATGTTTTTAATTAGACTGAAATTCTGGTCTGATCTAATCTTGTCTGGATGGTCTCATAGACGTCCAGTCTTATATATATTTTACAATTGTCGAAATCTGGTTTGATTTATTGAAGTCTGGTACGATTTGATCTATGACTAAGACCAATCAAGCTTATATTTATTTTTGGAAGGTAGCGAGGTTATACAATGTTTATACTTTATCTTATTTCAGTCACATTCCAGACCAAAATAGATTAGATTAGACTTAAGTGGAACAAATCAGATCATATTAGATTTCAATAGTTGTAAAATATACATAGGCTACACATTTACGAGATCAAACCAGTTCAGATAAGACCGGACCAGACTCAAATGGATTAGACCATATTAGATCAAACCATACCTCAAAATTTAAATCCAATATAATAAAGGGCCTTTTCCATGAGTATTATTAAATTAAATTCAAAAGACAAAAATATGATTAATTTAAAACTTTTCAAAAAAGTGACATATTCAGTGACTAGCTAGTTCTCAGTGACTCATTATCTATCAGTGATTCGTCACTCTGAAATAAATTATAATGACTCTCGTCTAGTTATTACTAGTACCAGTGTGATTAGTCATATTTTTCTCCAAAAATATAACTAATCATCTTTTTGTCCCGAAAAAACTTTGTGAGTAAATTACATGTCATTTTTTCTATAGAAAAAATCATACTAGTAGTTCTCATGCATATGAGCTGTAGGGGGGCAATCATCGTATACTCCGTATTACTACGTATTTCTTTCAGTGAAAAGTTATTTTGACCGAGCAATAATTGGTTTTAAAAAGTTCGGTCTCTTTGATTATCTCTCGCAGGATAATGTAAACGATAGCTTTTAAAGCATGAGAGACATTTGACTCGCTAGAAACTATAGAAAATTGATATGATATCCAGATTTCATAAGTAACATTAAACCAAAGGTAAAAGGTCTGCAAAATGATTGCTCTCACATAACCAAAGGTTAACAGATACTACGTACGTAGTATTAACTAAGAGAGAATTGATTGTCTTTAGCTAATTTTTTTCTGTCTTGCTCTACTTTGCCAACCATTCTACTTTAACTACATTGTAATCCGTATTTGCATTTAAACTACATAATTAACTAAACTATATACTAAGTATATAATTAGACATCTTAATTATAGCGTTGACGTAACCTTGCAGATGTCGAATGAATCATCAATTGATCCTACTCTAAAGAAATAAATAATTGTGTAAACCTAGTTGACTAGGGTTGAGGTTAATTCTCTTAGGCCTTGTGTGGTTCAAAGGAGGGGATGGAAGGGGAGAGTCAAGGAGGGAAGGGAAGGGAAGGGGAAGGAAGGATTTTGATAAAAATTTGTGTTTGGTACTTTGGTTGGAGGAAATTAAATAGGAGGAAAGGTTTAAAAAAACATTTTTCCAATTTATGTCTATTTGATAGCTTACTTAAGAAAATAGATACATCTCTAACTATAATGAATATTACTCATCATATGGTCATGAGTCATAATATTTTCTTTTGATTTTTTACTTTTTAATTTTTATAATTTTTTATTTTTTATTTTTAATGTTATATTTTTTTGTTAATTTTATTAATTTTTAATTTCTTTTATTTTTTTTCATATTTTAGTTTTTAAATTTTAAATTTTTAATTTTTTTAATTTTTTATTTTTTAATTTTTACTTTTTTTAATTTTTTTAATCTTTAAATTTTTAAATTTTTTAAAACTTTTTATTTTTTACCCTTTTTATATTATAACGTTTTGTGCATTCATGTAGGAGATGGATAGTTTGTGATTATCAACATGCATGTTTCCTCCGAAATACCCTGATTTGAGGGGTTTAGAATAGGAGGAAGTGGAGGATTTTGGAAGTCTTCTACTTTCCTCTCATTCCCCCCTATGTCCTTTAATCAAACACACATAAATCCCTGACTCCCCCCCCCCCCCCCCCCCCGAAACCCTTCAACCAAACAGGGCCTTAGAGTTTGAGAGCCCAACACGATCTCTCAACCTTCGTCGTGTGATCTGTATTTAGGTGGTTATTTAGTATGATGATGATGGCCAGGGCCGGTTCTGAGGGGAGGGGGGCGTGGGACAGGGGCGACCGCCCTACGCCGAAAAAAAGTAGGAAAAAAGGCCCAACATTTTTTCTTTATTAATACTCTGAGTAGCCTTCTTTTTTTATTCTTAAGTTCAATTAATTAGGCCTAATGTTTAATTTTGTTGACAATTTGAAAATTTAAAACATGAATAAAAGTTCTGAAACAAAGTCAAGTTTAAAAAAGAATATGTAGATTAATTTTAAGCAGGACCGGTTGTATTTTTTAAAAGCAATACAATTGTTTTCGGATCAATAAAAGACATTCCTACCTCTTTAGTCTTCACATCTCTTTAGTCTTTAAGGCTTTTTATTCATTTTAATTCTAACATAACAAATTTATATGATTATTTTAGAGCTTGTGTCTCTTAAATTTCATCCAATTATATATTTGTTTTCAAATTTCAATAAACTATATCTGATTTCCTAATAATAGTTTTAGAGGACGTCAAATTGGCAGTCTTGTTGGGCAAATCTTCTCGGCGACCTAATATTTTGTCACTTTGAAAACCTTCATTCCTTGGATGCTTCAAACTTGGACTCTCAACGGTCAATAAATCATTCTCCACTTATGAATTTAATATGTAGTAATATTTCTTTTCATTTATCCTTTCAATTGTAATTGAAAGAAAGTTTAGTGTTGTTTTATTACTTATATGTGACAATTTTATTGTTTGCTATATTTATTTGTGGAAAGAAGATTGCCTATGAAGCGGTTCTTGATGATTTGCTTCAATTCATATTGTTCTACGAGAAACGTTTTTAAGTAATGTCTTTTTTTTTTTAATTTTTATTCGATACTCCTGTTGATATTCTTGTCCAAATATGTATCTTAAATAATTATAAATTGATTCTCACCTTTATTTTAGGAACTTTATTTGATGCTTGTGTTATAATTTAAATTTCAAATAATAAGATTTATGTTTGATATAAGCCCAAAATAGCGTATCACCCATAGGTCCAGAAATTGACAATTTGAAATATGGCGATGTTTTGTGAGATGGAGGGAAAACTCATTTTTGAATATTCAATTTCAAGATTAGCCTTTTTAAGAAGAATTATCACCTTCCTTAATAGACACATGTTGAATTAGTGTCTTCTCTTCAAAGCACTCTATAATCTCAAAGTTTCCTGCACTTTTGTAATTGTTACCGCAAATCTGAAACAATTTTAATCCTTCTTCGCTACAACTCCATCCCTTAGTGTATCGTTTGATTTGCCCAAGCCTTTTGGGATCGGAATGAAATCTCATTTAATTTTATCCTGACAGAATATTGATGTGTATGTGAGCAAATTTGTTAGGGAGACAATAAACATTTAATTTGTTGAACTCGATTTAATCCTCTAGTGAGTATGCTTCATCTTCTTCATTTATCATTTAGGGAGTTATGTATTTTATTTTGTATGCAGATTTTCAAACAACAAACGCTGGGTTGAACTAAAGTTGCACCAAATACAAAATACACAAATAATGTAAGAGTACTATTGTTAAAGACTTGATACTCCTTCATCTCTTAAAATTCTTCCAACTTTCCTTTTTAGGTCGTCCCTAACATTCTTCCAACTTACTCTTTTGAAAAAATTGTGTGGCTCACATTCATTTACATTTTTCTTACACAAGTACAACCATATATTTCTACTTTATTCTCACTTTCTAAATTTGCGAGTAATTTAGAAAGTCAAACTTGGAAGAATTTATTGGGACGAGAGTAATTTGAAACTCCATTGGGAGAATGTATTTTTTATACAAATAGCATATAAGCAAATTCATCTACGAGTGAAGAGAGAAAAATGAACTTGGGTGGAAAGAAATGCATGTTTTTTGTAGAAAAAGTTGCAAATCAAAGAAATGACAAAGAGCGCTCATAAAGTCACAAAATGAGGAGTAATGAAACGAATAAAAAATGTGAACATTTCAAAGAATTTGAAAGGTGGGGATTAATCTACCTTCTCACCATCTTCATTAATAACATCAAGTGGAACCGTCGTCCGACCGGAGGGAGATTTAGGTCGGGATCCATTGAATGATAGGGCCCACATGGATCCAATGGTCGAAATAGGCCAGCTGCTATAGAAGAGAAACCAGACCCAATATTTTTTCACCTAAAGTTGTCTCCTTTTTTTCCTCTTTTATGTGTGGGTGTGTGTATGGGCATGATTGGAGAGCTTTGCCTGCATTGGCTCTGAAATCCTTAAAAGAAAGTTTCCCAAGATTACACATCACACCCCCTAAACTTTCACTAAAACTAGAGAAGGCAGCAATACCTATGCATTTTGACTCTCCCCCTAAAATTGACTTCCCTTTCAATTCTTCAAACTCCAAGGCATTTTCCATCCAAAGGACTGGACCATAGCTTGTTTTTGAATCTTGGAGTTCCAAATCTGCCCTTATTCCATCTTCATGAACAATGAGGTGGTGGGGTTTTAGCAAGAAACAGAAGATGAGTTTGGGTTTTTTGTCTCTTCTTCTTCTCCTACTTCTACAGTTGAAAGCTCCAAGCTACTATGCAGATGATGGCAACCTCAGCAATGGAGATTCCCACAGATTAAAAAATGGGGTCAAACCCATTTCTGGTGTGGGGTTGACTGCTCGGAAATCCCACCATCGGATCCCAAAAGCAGCCACAAATTTGGGCGGCCATGTTGAAGAGAAGAAGGAAGATGATATTTTTGGTGCTGATAAGAGGAGAGTCCGTACAGGACCCAATCCTTTACACAACAGATAAGTAGCAGATCAGTGTTGTAAGTTAAGAGATATACTCATCTCTAGATTTTTGTTTTTCTTTTCTTTTTCCTGTTTTTTTATTTTCCATTTGATTATATATCTAGCCGCTTCTTGTTTTTTTTTTTTTTTGGATTTAAAATGGTTACCCTCATATTACTTGTTCTTATGTTTGGCTCAGTTTATTGAGGGGCATTAAGTACTCCAGAATGTTTCCAGAAATCTTAGCTTGGATAGTTGGATTTGTACATTCACAACCTGGTCTTTCTTGTTCTACAGTAGTTCTATTTACAAATTAAAATGAGGACATTGATATAGTTTTTTTATTTTAAATGATGGTTACGTTCTATTTTTTCAATCCTATGAATTACAAGCTTACGTACAATTGATACCTTATACGATGTACATTGTTTACATACTGTTTTTACCGATATAGTTCTTATATATTATTGAATTGTGCCCCCAGCCACTTGCTCTTAAATAAGTGCATGTGTGTTCATTAAAAATAAAAATACTCCGGCAGTCCGGCCTAAAACATTACAATGAAAAGGTTTATAAATAATAACTGGTTAACTATTTAGACATTGAATGAACATAACAAAGTTATCCTACCATATCATACTTGAGCTTTTCAATTCCTTTAAATTTCTGTTTTAATACCAGCAAATTATTAGGGGGTGTGTGACAATTGATCAAAGAAGTTTACGTTTTTAAAACCTTATACTTTATTTAAATTTAATATTCCATTATTATAATCATTACAAATGGACAATTATACGTACAATGTTAATTAGGTTGAACATTAAACACGTTTTCCATTTTTCAATGTATTAATGCTTTAAATGTATGAAAAATCATACGAGTAAAAAAATTGAAATATTAGTAAAAATATGCATTCGATTCCGATCTTAATGGAATGATGAATGTCGAGCTTTTTAGTGAAAAAATAAACAGTTTAGGAGAGAAAAGAAATTAAAACGCTTATCCAATCAAGGACAATTGAGCCAAGTACCTTATGCTTTCACAAAATTGCTTCCCCGAAGTGAATGTTAAGGTGATCATAAGTTGAGTTTTGTCTCAATCAAAGATATTAACATTGTTGAGCAAATACTATGATAAGTAGAAATGTATACAAAACCAATCAAAAAGAATTGAAGTGCGTACTAAATACTTTCGGTTGCATTCGTCCCAAAAAATTGTTTTCCTTCAATTCTATGAAAAAGATTCTTTGATTCCTACTATTTGATTCCTTAAACTTGTGGTCATTTTCATTTTCTTAATATATCTCAAAAATCAATTTGGGGAATATATAATGGGACTATGAGAGGAAGGGAGTTTATGATTCGAGAGTACATCCCTAGGCTAGGGTGATATGATGACACTTTAACCAGTAGATAATGAATCAAGAAAACTCTTAATTGCAACAGAAATCAAATAAAGTATGATGAGCTGAGGCAGGCCGCATGCAGTACTTGTTATGTATGACAGTTAAATTTTTGTCTATTTATGCCCAAACTTGTGGTGGTTTTCCCATTTCTTGCAAGCCCAGATGACCCAAAGGTGGAACTGGGAATGTCTTTTGCCAAGTTCAAATGATGTGTGGTATTTTCAGTTGTGTCATTTTACTTATCCAGATTTCTGAATTTAGCAGAAGAAAACAAAAATTGGGATATCACACGCTTCCACTAAAAGATATACTCCTCTTTCACTTACGTAGTGATGATGACCAGGCTAAGCCATTTTACATGTAATTTGGTCCATGATATACCAAATCTCCCTGATCTGACCCTGACTACAATGGGTCACACGTATATACGGAGTATGATTTAATTCATGTATAGTTTTATTATTATATGTTATCTTATTATTGCTCATATTGTTGAAAAAGTCATCTCACACACACGAACATTAGATATGAAATTAAAAACCAAAATATATTTAAAATTTCAAATTACACATTTATTTGGTTAAACGTTTAAATGAAACTTTCAAGTCTTAATATAATATACCATCTGTTTTAGCAATTTTTGTGCTAATTCAAACAATCAAATAGATAAATAATTGGGCTACGTACAAGAATTATATCTAGCTATCAAGAAATAAAATATAAGAAATTACAATGATGATCAATGATAGAGCTTTTTTGTGTTTAGCTAAATGCAAATTATGTAATTCCTCTCCCTTTGCTCCACTTTAGACCTTTGCTTTTATAGACAATAGTGGATAGATTTTCTTCCGATTCTTTTGCCCACTTCTAACTACCCATCATAATCGGCTCCTATTTTTGCTGGATTTGGGAGTTAGTTCTTTGACCTTTTCACTAAGCTCCTCTTTTATTTAGCCGGACATATTTATCTGATGGTGTGGCTTGCTGGACTGGATCAACTAACTTTATATTTGATCATGGGCCGAACCTTTGTTTAATCCGTCAATTATTTCGTGGCCCAACAATTGCCCCCTTTCGAGAAGTTGAGGCGTATGGGCGCACATGCCAACTCATTAAGCATCAACTTTTCGAAATATTGGAAGAACCTACATTTGTCCTCCTCAAATATTGCACATGTCAACTCGTCATCAGTTTGACAAAACATGTCATCAACCCGTCACGCGTCGGGACGCTTCCGTCAACTCGTCATTTGTCTGAGGAGATGCTTCTGTCAACCAGTCACTCGTCTGACGAGACGCTTTCCTCAACTCGCCATTTGTCCGACAAGACGCTTCTATCAACGTGTCTCTCGTTTGACGAAACACTTTCTTCAACCTGTCAATCCTCAGATAAGACGCTTCCGTCAACTTGTCACCTTCCTTGCAAGTAGTTTTTAATCGAATCCGTCTCGTTGACTGAAGCAACGAAGAACGAAGGCTGATCTCCTATGCTCTTCCTCCAAATCTAGGTAGTGCCGACGAGTTGAAACTTCGTCCAGATGACGAGTTGGATTGTATGAACTTGACTCATATCCTGCAAAAACTTTAAATAATGTTACGTTTTTCGTTTGTACTATCTCCTTATGTTGGAGCATGTGCTTCTGTTGTGTAGTTCTATATTTTTTGTTGTTGGTGCGTTGTCACATATGTTTTGGTTGCACGCGCGTTGTCATATATGTTTTGGTTGCACGTGCGGGGTCATATACGTGTGTAGGTTTTGGCCAAAAAATATATATGTTGTAAGGGCCGGCTGGGACTGTTATCCATGATCTTCTCATGGGCAGCCCAGCCCTTTCCCATTTGATGTTAGTGTATAATATGTAACTGGCATGAGCATGGTTGAAATCTTAGTTGCCTCGGTAACTGCTTGATCTTGTGCTTCGAGATAGTCCTGCATCCATAAAAACCGTCGAAGCTGGTCGTTGGCTTTGGGCCAACGGCCCTCTGATGATTAAGTCAGTAAAAGCAATGAATATATCTTGAAGTGGAAATGTATACTCTACACCGAATACGTCACAACTTTCTATGAACAACATGACCACATAATATTTCCATAAAGGATCCAAAATTTATTGAACTCAAGCTTAGAAATGAGATAAGTTACTGAGATTAAAACATGCACAAAAAATAATTCAAAGGAAATGCACAAATTGAACATGACGCTTTAACAGATTCGTCGTACTCGATACGTCATTGTTTTCTAAATGAACTTACAAGGACCTGTGACGTATTAAAGCAACTTACTGATGGTGCTTCATTGAACTTGGCGTCTCGTTTGGTTTTCTGTACTCAAAACGTTGTTAGGGTTGGTCGTTGGCCTTAAGCCAACGGCCCTCCGATGATTAAGTAAGTGATCGTTTATAGATAAATGAAAATAATAGATTAAGAATATGTATACCAATCTAGATAAGTTATCACCATAACATGTCTACCGTAGGACGATATGCCCCCCTTCTGACGATTTCAATCATTTCGTCACTTATCACGAAAGTGACTCGTCACAGAAATGACTCGTCACGGAAGTGACTCGTCACCGAAGTGACTCGTCACGAAAGTGATTCGTCATCAAAGTGATTCGTCATCAAAATGATTCGTCACGAAAGCGATCCGTCACAGAAATGACTCGTCACGGAATTGATGACAATATGCGAAAGAAAGTAACAAACTAAAAATGAAACAACTTTTACGGGTACCGTATTGCAGCTCTTTAGAATCTGTCTATCATCGGACGATGTGCCCCCCGTCCGAGATATCAATCACTTTGTCTTGTTCATCTCGTCATGGAATGACGACTCGTTCCTCGGGTCTTGAATAAGGTTTCCCAGACTTGTAATCATGCCTCCTATGAGATTCTGATTTCCCGTGCCCCCATTCATGCTCAACATGTCCAAGACGGGATCGTAAGTCTTCTTCTAGACGGATGAAAGCCAACGCCTTTGCTTGGACATCTTCGAAGGATCGACAAGGGTATTTCGTCAGTTCTCGGTATAGCTCTGAATCTTCATATAAACCTCTTCTGAATGCCTCAATGACGGTAGAGACGTCACATTTTGGGATCGACACCTTCCTTACGTTGAATCTGTGCAAATAATCTCTAAGTGATTCACCATGCCTCTGTTTGTTCCGGTCTAACGGAGACAGTCGACATCACTTGCTTATATCGCGCGACATGTTCTCCAGGATCCGTGGTTCCGTCAAATGGCTCCATGGTTTGTACGTCAAATTTATTCGGCAGCTGGACACGAATGATCGAAGCATCAAAAGGTGAATCTTCATAACACGTTCGTGATGCTCTTTCCAAGGGCGGGGGTACCCCTGGCAATCCGTTGATCTTGTCCTGCATCTGACGCACTTGCTCCATCAACATGGACATCTGATCTGTTACGGCTGGGTGGATTGGTATTGGGATAGAAGACGTTGGTCCTACCATCTGGGTGACTTCAGGACGGGTTGGTGACGGGATGAAATTCACTTCGGGGCGTTGCTCTGGAAGCGTCGACGCTGATGTCGTGACAGGTCTGCCAAAGCGTTCCGTTAGAGGCTCTAGAAATGATACACTAGGCTCATTCCGTCTGGCGTACTGCATGAAACTTGATGAACCAGGCTCCCCACAAGTTCTGCTCCTGTAATGAGGAATTGACGGCTCTGTCGGGGTAGAGGACAGAGTCGTCGTAGGTATGCATCGGGTCGACGAATATATGCCAGATCCATTTGATCTGACCCGAAGGGATTCCGGGGAAAAGCAAGCCGGAATATTGACTAGTGGTGTAGGTGACAGACCTAGCGTGAGGGAGACGGGATCCGTCACTGTTGCAGGTGGATCCGTCGATGTTGCGGATGGATCCGTCGCTGTTGCTGGCGGATCCGTCGCTGGTAGGGAGGATCCGAGATCTAACCTTGTTGCAGCAGTCATTGTGTCACTCCTCCGATTGAGCCTCGAGTTTGAAGCTATCGAGACTACAGCTTGTACCTGGGAGCGAAGTACGTCGTTCTCGCGTTGAAGATGGGACATCTTCTCCGCCATCTCACGCCGGATTTCCTCCCGGACCGTCTCGAGCTGCTCATGGAATTCAATTAACAGCTGATTCGTTCCTGCCATAATTGATTTCTTTCTTGCACGATGCCCCACGGTGGGCGCCAAATTGTTTTAGCAATTTTTGTGCTAATTCAAACAATCAAATAGATAAATAATTGGGCTACGTACAAGAATTATATCTAGCTATCAAGAAATAAAATATAAGAAATTACAATGATGATCAATGATAGAGCTTTTTTGTGTTTAGCTAAATGCAAATTATGTAATTCCTCTCCCTTTGCTCCACTTTAGACCTTTGCTTTTATAGACAATAGTGGATAGATTTTCTTCCGATTCTTTTGCCCACTTCTAACTACCCATCATAATCGGCTCCTATTTTTGCTGGATTTGGGAGTTAGTTCTTTGACCTTTTCACTAAGCTCCTCTTTTATTTAGCCGGACATATTTATCTGATGGTGTGGCTTGCTGGACTGGATCAACTAACTTTATATTTGATCATGGGCCGAACCTTTGTTTAATCCGTCAATTATTTCGTGGCCCAACACCATCATGTTCAAGTCTTAAACTTAACTGCGTGGATGTAGTCTCTTTTTTATGAATGAGCTTCAATTTAGTCATTTTTATGATATGTTACTATATATGTTAAACATAGTGCCTCTACAAATACCTGGATCTAAGTCTCACTCGCTATCTATCTGCTTGTGATTAAAGTCCATTTTCATCCGCCCTCTTACTTAACTTTTCGGCTAACGTTGAGGGCCTCAAGAATGGGATGTTATTTTTTTTAGAGAGTAATCCCCTTTGATTAATCTATTATTAGTACTCCATTATAAATGAACTATACTTTATTATGCTTCCAAGGTCACGCATTCAATTCCTTCTAGCCGTCTAGGCTTCTATCCGTTGATATTTGGCTATCAAGACGTACTCAAGAGAACGGGTTTTGTGAACAAAAGGTGTGGTAAATTAGTAGCTGCGTTGATGGTTATCCCACAACATGTGAAATATGTAGTGGCCATTCCTTTGAAAGTATCCAATCTCTTAGTGGCCATTCCTTACACATCCTCTAATATGTTTTTATTAGTTGATTAATTGTACAATGCATATAAAATAAATATAATTTTTTATATTGAGGTACTGTAGAATTTGCATATAGAAATTAAACAAATGTGGTTATTTTTTATTGAAGTTACTACTCCAATTGACAAAACACGTGTTTTAGCCTTTTCCTTACATGTTTCATAAATAATTCATCAATATCATATTAAAATAACTTTTGAATATAATTTAGCAGAATCAGTCAATCATTGGATCATTTGATCGAGTAGTTTACCAAACCCATTCACAAAAAACCTACTACTTACTAAATAATCCGTACATCTTAGCAATTAACCGGATGAGGTCTCATTTGAAAAACAAAAAACAAAAATCACAATATCAACTACCAAAAATGTCAACATTTCTTAAAGTACAAGATATATAAATTGACAAAGGTAAAATAGTAATGATGGAAGGTATATATCATGTTTTCGTGAGTGACTCCGACCTGATAAAGGTGTGATACTTTCGTGCCATATACTACTTGTAATACATATGGTATAATAAATGATGACAGTTCCCTATGACTTGTTTGGTTGTAACTTAATTATAGGCATGTATAAGCATTGACCAATTCATTTCTCCTTTCTTTGTATGTGTGGAATAATTACGAGTACTATTTTGTTGACTCTTCTTAAAACGTACAAAATAATATTCATAGAGTAAAAACAATTATTTGAATGTACTTTTTAAATATTAAAAAAAAAAGAGTTTCTCATACTCTAAAGACTAACAACAAGGAGAAACATTTGTTGGTGGAAAAGGAAAAAGAAATCACCGACGGTGCAATTGTCTACCATGTAATTTAATTGCTTGTCATGTACTCTCAAGCCTGCATACATACTAAACTAGATGGAGCATTCAAAGCCATGTCAATGGTATTGGAACAAACTTCTGTTCTTCTTAATTGGCCCGCCATAAATGCGAATAAGGGCACCGGTTGATATTTACTTCGTCGATTTCAGAGCATATATACCAACGTCACCTTAGTTAAGTGAGATATTTAATTATATATATATAAAGATATTACGGTTGAAAATGAATTGAAGATATTATGGTTGAAAATCGAATATACGAGTATTAATTTCCCTCTCATTAAGTGACTTTATTGAAACATTTAATTAACTCTTATAATTAGGATATTTTTAATTGGACTGAAATTTTTTGAACTGATCCGGTCTGGTATGTTTAATCGTGGTATGATCTTGCTCGAGTTTGTTTGTTTAGGCGGATTGATATGAAATTACTAAATGGGTGTAGCCTGGTCTGATAAAGGTATGTTTTTATGTATTTTACTATTGGTTATGTTTAGTCTAGTCCGGTCTTGTATAACTTGATCTATTGAAATATGGTCTTAGATGGTCTAATTTGGTTTGGTCTCATTTGTTTAAGTATGATATAGTCTAGCCTAGTCCGGGTTTGAAACCAATTCACGTATAAAAAAAAATCCTATTTAAGTATAGTCTGGAACTCTATGGTATCTTCTCATCTGGTACGTTTTAAATATAGTCTTGTCTGATCTAGTTAATTATACTTTGGTCTAGTCTGGATTGATCAGATTTGGTTTGGTCAGGTAAATATTTGCTTTATACTGCATATGTATTTTACTATTAACAAAGTCTGGTCGGATCTAGCATATGTGTGTTAATAATAATTAATACTTAGCTTAAAGAATAATTAGTTATAAATTTAGGAGAAAATGGTCAAATAAAGCATTCTACAGTTTCTGATCCATCACTTAAGTCTTTGTACTACAAAAAACATCATATGATTATAGTTACCCTTACTTTTTAAATACAATAAATCAAGTCATTCTGAACTACTATAGCGGGTTATCCTAAAAAAAATTAGGAGTATTGAAAAATCTTATTAAAATTCATATAAATGTGAAATATAATGTAATAATAAAAATAATATAAAATAGCATAAATGTAAAAAAGATAAATGGTTTAAAAAAGTCAAAATAAAAAATAGAAATATAACTGAAAAAATAAAGTGAAAATGTAAAATATTTAAAATATAAAATGTAAAAAACCTATATCTATTTATATAGTTTTAACATTATTTTAGAGTTTTTAATATAAAAAAAACCTATTATTAGAGATCAAAATTGAATAAATGTCTAAGTTGATCAATGTTTTAAAGTAACCATACTTATATGATACTTTTTTAAGTACATAGGGATTAAGTGATGAATTGCAAATAGTCGAATGGATTATTTGTCCCTTTTCCCTAAAATAAAATATTATAATATCAACGTTTTTTGGCACCCCAAATCCAGATATACTTCAGATATTTTCTCACGAGGTCACCGTGAATGGACAAATTTTACGATTATTGAGTAGGAGTGTAGGACCACGAGATAATACAAGAAAGTCATTCATTTCTTTGCATTGGTCACTTTTATGCATTTGTGACACCTATGTCAAAACAAATAAAGATTAATTCTTAGTTTAACCCATTTTAAATAATAGAATTAAGTGAAGAAACTTTTAGGGGTGTTCTTATACTCTGATCTTAAACCAGTCAATGAATTGACTATGACATTCTTTATCTGATAGAGTTTGCGAGGAAGTTGCATCAGCTTGTGAATATTATCTACTAATATAAGATACAAAGCAATTATTAGTTACTTAATGGTATTAAATTAGTTGGATAATGAGGCAGTCCTACTGGAAAAATGATTGGACTGCATCACATTTTTTTAAACATAAAAATGGGCCCCCTCAAGCTCATGTGGGTCCAAATCATGCAGTTTTTCCGCTCATAATGTTTTCCTATGATGATTAAAGATTTCCCGGCCACCATTAAATTCATCCAACCCACCATCAAAATTTCGATCATAATGATTGAACGTAGTTTTCACGCCTTTTAAATGTCGTGAGCAAAAGGTCATCCACTGATAGCCATGTAACCTTCTACGATTGAACCTTCTGGATGAGCAGAATTACGGATCAAGGACTTTTACACAAATGTTGTTTTTTCTACAAAATACATCTACCTTTACTAAACAAGTCTATCATTAAGTGCATCGTAAATAGCTAAATGAATTGGCAAATTCACCATGATATCAAAAAAAGAAAGCGGGAATATCTTCTCCAACTTGCATAGGGTTATAGGAATTGAGCTTGAAATTTTTCTAGATCACCAGCCTTCAACACTTTAGCAAGAGTATATATTGAAAACTATATATAGAAATCTCAAAAAGCAGTTTAGAAACAGTTTTAGGTAGTAGCCCACGAATGGCAAGAGGAAGTAAGCTTTGTAATATGGCATGACAATTGTGACTCTTAAATCTTGAAGTCTTGTTGTCTTTTAGGCAATAACAATATGCCATATATTAGACTAATACTCATCTCTAACTTTTAGTTGCTTCAAGAAAATGCGGAATTTATGCTTCTGTTTCACCTTCTTTGATTGGTTGAGTGCAGTTCTTGTCTTATCTTCATTACTATTAATAAATCAAGTTGATTTTGAAGCTTATCTTTTGTCTTCCCTTTGAGATTCATGATTGTACCTAAATGTTATCACAAATGTTCTTTTCGATGTGCATAGCATCCAAATTATATCATAACAACAAAGTTTCCCAATGCAGAAGTTCAAAAATACGCTATTCTTATTCCAATTATCTCCTGTTCTCTTAAGGGATATGTCCACGTTTCTATCTACACCCTTTTTCAAAATCAATCCATCAAGGTCTTTCACCTGCTCAACTTTGTCACTGTCAGGTTTTGGTTGCAATGTTAGCTCTTTCGTGCCATGAAATGATTTCTTATCACTTCGTCATTTATGATCTTTTAAAAGCCAATGAGGATGTCTCATGTAGCATTGTTTTAAACCATTAGCTAACCTACTGATTAAAGTGTCCTTAATTATGATAAGAAGGAGAAGCTAATCTTCCTTTACTGCTTCATCCCAATAAATTAGCATATGTTTCAACTCTAGTTTCTCACTCTTCTTTCAATGATTGAAAATAAACATCAATTGCATCGCTGGGACTTTACAATCAGGAATGTGCACTGACAACATAAATTTGAATGATCAGTTCACATCCAAGGTGGCAGATTATATCGAACGAGAATAATCGGCCATATAGTGTAACAATTCTTTGAATTAGCAAATGGTTAAAAACCATCGATGGCAAGACCAATTCCAGCATTGTGTAAGCTTGCAGAAAATAATTTATGCAACTCATAAAAATTCTTTCATGCTCTTGACTCAGTCGGTGGATAAGTCATCATTGCAACATCATCAACTAATTTTCTTCTATTTTGATGTGATCTCATCGAAGATGATGTCTTTTTAGACATAAACAATATCTGAAGTCAAGGTATTAATGTGAAATATCATAATGTCTTGAGTGATATTTCCTTATCATTCACTGTATACTTGCACTTTCCACTTGCTTATCATTCTCCCATATTAACTCAACATATACTTTACAAAATTTTGCCTCTTCATTATCCTTCCAAATTTCCAATATAACATGCAATCACTTCCACAAGCCTAATATTCTGGAACAGAATAATTTCCAATATTCTCCCTCTTCATCCATGTTTTATAGGATATAATCATTAGACTCTTATTAATAAATAAATATAAAAAAAAATATAAAATTCACTTGATTTTTTTTTGAAAATTCAATTTCTTCTTTTAAATTCTTTTTTAATTTTAAAAAAAAATATATTATCATTAAAAGAAACTTGATATTGTAGAAACAAATATTACGCATATGAATAAATACGTATGAATATGAAATAAAATTAGTTAAATTACTTTGTCAAGAAAAGTTATACAAAATATATTAGAATTCAACTAATGGTTCTCGCATATTATTGATCATCCGTGCATCGCACAACTTGAGAAATAGTATTAGTATATAAATTGAAAGGAATATGAAATATACAAAACATTTCAAAATATATGTATTTTCTTGGAACAGAATATATAAAGTATTTCATAATACTAAATGAAACTTTTTCAACTTATGCATGGTTTTCTAGAACCAACTCGATAAAGTACTCAAAATATGGAGTGAAATCCAATAGTACAAAATATTCCAAATATATGTATTCTCTCTAAATGAATGGTTATATTCTTTGCAGTGTATTTGAGAATTGATGCTCCATAATATACTCCGTATGTATTTAAATAGTACTCCGGATGAATACAGGTCTTAATTGAAATTAATGAATATTTACTAATTGGACTCACTAGAAATTAATTGATTATTCATTTTCAATTAGAAGGTTGTACTTTATTATTAAGTAGATGTTGTGTTTATTGCTTTCTGGCATTGATAATTTGACTATTTGAAGTGTCCATTTTTATTATCTTATTTTCATTAAAATTGTTTTTTTTACAAAATAGTTATCAATTAGTTGCATTTTGAAACACACACATGTGTGTGGGTTAATCCATAATACATATACATGTTTCATCAAATAAGTGTGCATTTGCTAAAAAGTAAACCTTGTTTGTCATATATCTCCAACTCTTGTGTATTTGAATGATTTGCCTTGCATCAGTCTATATTGATACTTTTATTGCTTCATTAGGTAACATTTAGTTATGGTACTTGCATATGATAGAAGTATACTTCCATTATTTTCGACTGAAAAATGTCTAAAGTATTTGTCAAAATGTTTGATTACCAAATTATCACTGACATTGTAAATAATAATAACTGAGCCCTTGAGTAATGATAGTTATGTATGCCTCTTTTGAGACTGATTTTATTTTTTGTAGGTTCTTTTATTTTGTTGCCAATTAAGATTCTCAACTTTGTTATAATTTTTTTTTCTCTCTTTTTCTAAAGCTATCATAACAGTTTTTATTCATCAATATTTTTTTAAGTTTAAAAAATATACTTAAGATAAATATGTGTTTTAAAGACAAAAAATCTAAATAGAATGCTTTCTATTTCTTTTTAAGTGATTGTGTGTCACTATTCTCTATTCTTTTCACTTGATACTTTTCAACTCTAGCTTCAATGTTATAACTATTACTACCTCCGTCCCACTATGATTGGGATAATTCGGTTTACGATGCTTGACCGACGATAAAGCAAACAGATCCCTGTCCGTACTCAATTTTTTTTAGAAAGAAAAAATTACATATTTAGAAACTACATTAAAAGTTTTACAAAGTCGCAAAAACAAGAATCAAATTTGATAAAAATTTGATATATATACAATAAGAGATTAAGAGTGATTTGTGTTGACCGAATGAATAGTGTCTGGGACAATCTTAGCGTGACGGAGGGAGTATATATTAGTTTTCCTTATAACGTCTAACAATCCCCCCATCACCTGTCAGCCTACAACTAAGCAGCATGTTGTTGCTGGGGGTTGGACCCGTGACCTTTGATTTTGATGTCACTTGTGGATCGTTACGCTTACCGCTACAAAGTGTAGTTGTTGCTTCTAGTGTAGCGGTAAGCGCAACGATCCACAAGTGGTATTAGAGCCAAGGAAAAAGCTATTGCTACCCCAATTTGTACCCCATTTTGTACCCCCTCCCTATATTTGTAGTTCACAAAAGCACTTCATTAATATGGAGCAATTCATTTAATGTGTTGGGCTTTTGTGAACCACACATATAGGAATGAGGTACCAAATGGGGTACCTCTAGCAAAATTGTAGAGCCAAAGATCACGGGTTTTACCCCCCGACAATTGCATGATGCTTAATTGTAGGCTGGCAGGTGCTGGAGCGGGCTTGTTGGGCTGCAGGTATGCGGTGCCAGCAGTTCTGTCAGCATGCTGGTGCAATACACCGTGGCGCTTTGCCTGTTCTATAAGGGGGGAGAACGTGCTACACTATCTGCTATTTCTTTTAGTGTATCGCTAAGCGCAACGATCCACAACTTGTATCAAAGCCAAAGGTCACAGGTTCGTTGTGAATGGTGACCTATCAGCCTACAACTGAGCAACGTGTTATTGGCAGCACCAAAGTTCTTGTGTGCCTCAAAATATATTTAATACTAACACTAATAAGTAGTATAATGAAGTATAGTTCGTATCCACGGGGACATGAATATTTCTCTTTAATAAAATTGTATAACCGAAGTTTTTTTAAAGATTTTTGAACTTACAAATAATTAAGCACTAAGATGAACGACTTATGTGATTTAAATTAATGAGATAAAAGACTTCGCTTTGTTACTTTCCGCTTGGTGAAATGTTTTTCGATTCCGGTAATATATTTGACTTGTCCCCTCTCGAATACTCAATTGTGGAGTATCTCCAATTCATCAATGGTAATTATTACTAACGAGACTGACAATCACTTTGTCACGGTGCGTCAAAATAAATTCAATACTAACACTTATACGTAGTATAGCGTTGCAGAGATCGTATCCACAGGGAAAGGAATAATTCTCTTTTTATAAAACTAGTAAATAAAAGGGTTTTTTACAAGAATATTACTACAATAAAACTTATTTACATAAATATGACTATTCATTACTACAACGTAGTTTTGTGGTAACTAAAGTTTAAAACTTGAACATGAATTACTATGATTTCATTACTACTCTAGTAACTAATCATATTTTTGTAAACTATCTTTATTTTGGTCATATTTATGCAATTATTTCTAAATAAAAGGGACGTTTAGGATTGAATGATTTAATTTAATTAAACACAAAGATGAACAACTTAGGCCTTTTTTTATCAATATTACTAAAATAAACGGAAAAGACATTCATATGACCCGTTTTAAAATTTTCTACAAAAGTGACCAAGAGTCATTAATACCTTGTACGAAGTCTTTAATATTATTACATTTATTATTGTAATTTTCATTTTATAAATTTGACTTTTAGTCCATGTTTTGTAGTCACTGCAACAACCTCAACACCACTGCCTCACACCCCACCACATCGGATGTCACCACCACCGGCACCTGCAACCTCGCCATCCACACCAGTCACTAACAGAGTGACTTCCCCGTCACTAACCAATGACTTCCGTCTAGCTCCGGTCACTAGTCAGTGACCTCCGCCAACTCAGGTCACTAACCCAGTGAGACCGCCACAATCACCGTCAGTGACACTGCCACAATCACCGTCAGTGACACCGGTACAAAGACACCACCGCCAGTTACGCCGCCTCCAGTTACATGTATTATCGGGCTACACAGGAAAATAGTGACACTGCATTCTCTGCCCCGCCAGCCCCTACCCCTGTCCCACAGACTAACCCTAGCCCACCCCAACCCCAAGCTCTGCCTGCCGGCCCACCCCAGCTTCGAACTCCCAGATCCGATCCCAGCCTCACACCTCAGCCCCAGCTTCCAACCCAAGCCTCCAACCGCACCACCGCCTGTAAGCGTAGCCTCCGGCTCACCTGCGCCACCCCCCATCCGAGCTTTAACGGCCACCAAATCGCATATCTCTGTCATCCTTAAACACCGATCTTTTCACCGCCGTCGCTCGCCGTCCAAAAATTCGGTCAACTCGTCAACGCTAATCTGCTCGAGTTGGACGATGGTGATTGAAGGACAACCTATACGGAGAGGCGGAGCAGAGATATGGATGGAGAGTCAGAGCCACGAACGGAACATTGTAGTGCTTCCACCGATGACGAAGCCTAGATCCTCAGTTACAGTGATGGTGGCGGCGGGCAGGACAAGTAACGGCGAAGAAGAGTGAGAAGAAGAAGAAGAGTTACGATGGAGCGGCAGGGCGATGGGGCGGCGCCGACTGGAGTTTGTCACTATCGTCTCAATGAGTTACGATGAGAGAGGCTAGGTCAGTGGGGAATATAAGGGCCGAGCATTTAATTGTATGTTTTTGTCACTTTTTTGTCCATTTAAAATATTTTCATATTTTTGTCCACTACAAGTCTATTAGTAATATCTAGGCCTTTATTTCAACAACTTATATGTGATTTAATTCAAAGATAAAAAAAACTTGGCATTGCTACTTTCCACTTGTTGATATATTTTAGTCGATTAGTGTTATATCTATAACTTATCCCCTCTCGAATACTCAATCGAGGAGTAAATCCAATTCATCGAGGGTAGTTATTAACAACGACCGTTCATTAATAACTCTTACTATTAGTCAAGTATAGAACACCGCCATATACCGACTTGATAGTAGCATTTAATCTTTTAACTCCTTGATGAAATCAATTGAGATTGATAACCTCAACACAACGGTTTCGGTTTAACCAACAAAATTAATTCCTCTTAAGTTTATAACCACGACCGTGCATTAATAAACCGAAGTTACTTACTTGTGAAACCATCAATGTTTAACCATCGGTTTGTTGATCGTTTCTAGTAATAATTAATATATGAAACAAAACTAGTTGATTCTTTAAGTAATGTTCAAAATATTAATATGAAATATGAATAGGAATTAATTAATATTCAAGGAAGAATATTAAAGATGATAAATCCTACTATAACTAATGTCAAGATGTTAACTAATTGTCATCTTAGCAACCCTCCTCAACATTAATATATAGAGAAAGAAAATAAATACTACTATAACTAATGTCGAGATGTTAACTAATTGTCATCTTAGCAACACCCCCAACATTAATATATAGATAGATTAAAAGAAGAATTAATATTCAAGGGAAGAAGTTAAGAAAATAACTCACAACTTTAATAATCAACAAGCTTCAAGAGCAACACCAAGAAATGGAAGTTCAGCTCCTCGTTTGGAGACTAAACATGCTATAAAAATATAAAAGAAATACTATTCTAAGCTGAGCTTAAGAGTATGGGAGAAGGAGTGATTATTTGTGAAGGAAAAGTGTGCTATTTATAGGTGTTTTTCAACACCTTTGGCCGGGTACCCGACCGGGTCAAGTGCCCACCCGATCGGGTGCATGTCAAAATCAGATAATCTCCCACGTTCTTGTGTTTCAGCACATTAAAATGTCCCGGGTCAAGTCAGACCCGACCGGGTGGGGTAGGGGACCCGACCGCGTGAGTGCACTTTCCATGCACTTTCGGTTGTTTGAATAAGACCCGACCGGGTGAAGTCTTCTACTCGGTCGGGTATTTGCTCCTGGACAGTCAAAATTCCTTTTTCTTCACTTCAAAGTCCTCCTTTTCAACACCATAATTCCTAATTCTACTTTACAACTTACAAATGAGAACTAAAATACAATTACAACTAAAAATCACACAAATGTTTACAAACTAAATAAAATGGTAAACAATCCACACAAATCAAACATAAAAAGATACATTTATGCACTACTAATTAGTGCATATCAGAGATCGTTCATTAACAACTCTTACTATTAGCCAAGTATAGAACACCATTATATACCAACTTGATAGTAGCATTTAATCTTTTAACTCCATGATGAAATCAATTGAGGTTGATAACCTCAACACAACGGTTTCAGTTTAACCAACACAATTAATCCCTCTTAAGATTATTAAGCATGAGACCATTCATTAATAACCCGAAATTATTTACTTCTGAAACCATCAAAGAGACAAAGATTAATCATCGATTTATTGATTGTTTCTAGTAGTGATTAATGTCAAAATGTTAACTAATCGTCACTTAGAAGTACTCCCCTACATTAATATCAAGATAGAATAAGAGAAGAACTAATATTCAAGGAAAGAAGTTAAGAAAATAACTCATAACTTTAACATTCAACAAGTTTCAAGAGAAAAACCAAGAAAAACCAAGAAAAAATTTAGCTCCTCATTTGAAGAAAATAACTATTCTAAATTGAGTTTAAGTATATGGAAGAAGATATATCAAAATGGGAAGGAAAAGGGGTGTATTTTTAGGTATTTAGCGTGCTGAAGTCACATCCAACCCGACCGGGTTGCAAACCAAATCTGATTTTCCATGATTCTTTGATCATTGGCACGTCTTTTTGTCTAATGTCAACCCAAACCCGATTGGGTTGAGTACAAACCCGAGCGCGTTACGTATCAAATCCGATATTTCCCACGTTCTCTTGATTTTCGTCATGTTCTATTGTCCATATCAACTCAACCCAGTCAGGTTGAGTACCAACTCGACCGAGTTTTTGTGGGTAGCTTCCTAGTTGCTTTGTATGTCAACTTCAACCCGATCGGGTTATATTTTAACCCGATTGAGTTTCATACCGGCACTTATATTAAAGTTTCTTCTTGCCTTCTTTTGGTACCTGAAATACTCTCTTACATCTCCTTACAACAAACTTTCATAAAAAGGTACAAATTACACACAAGTATTGAAATCAACATATTGCATATATCTGAGCATCTATGTAGGTGGTTTTTCATGCCACTTGTGCCACTTTTAACTAATGCGCGGATTTTGTTCCCGCAATGTTTGCAACTATGATACCCATTATCATCTACTTGCTTAAAGTGATCCCAGGAAATCGATTTATTTCTTTTTTGAGGTGGTCCAAACTCCAAAAACACTCATCACAGAAGTTGATGATTGAGCTTTTTCCTTTTGAGTATATGTTTTGTTTTTATTGGTGTTACTTCCACAATCACCTTGTATCGAATTCACTTCTTCCTCACCCAAGTACAAAAAGACTGGGACAAAAGGTGGGACTATTGTAAAAAGACTGTTACAAATGAAGATAGGGTACAAAAGTTGGATTATTCTTGAATAACGAAAAGGTGGGACTATTGTAAAAAGACTGTTAAAAGTTTAGATTATTAGTTTCCATTTTCCCATTACAAAATGGTAAACCAGCCGCCAACCATTTTTATTTAATCGCTTAACTGTACCAAATATATGATTTTAAACGGAAACAATAACATGATTTTATATAATAAGTTACTCAACAATTTGAGTAATTTTTATTTAATCGATTAACTGTACCGAGATGTTTTTCTTTAAAGCAAATTAATGTTTCTATCTTTATTACTCACTACTTTTATATATGTTACCAATTATAGAATTAGTGTATAAAATTAATAAGTAATATGTAAAGGGTTTTTGGGGTTAGGCTCAGGTGGGCTTAATAAGCTGAGCTGGGATGGGTCTTAACAGGCCGGGCCAATGGGCCGGGCTGGTTTTTAAATGCTCTGCCCCATGCCCACACCCCTTCAAATATTGGGTTAGTTGGGCCAGCCCGTGACCCGTATGGCTGGGTTGTGCTTTTTGGCAATTGGGATGGGTTAGTCACCACGGGCTCATGGGCCAGTGGGCTAAATGATGATCCCTTGTCGGGCCTTTACAGTTGGCTCCTACTTTTCCGTGGAACTCGTGGGATTTGACGAAATTGTAGGACTAAACCGTCAAGGATGTAGCAAATGTCCAGAGGGACATGCATTAGTTACTTCTCCAATAAATAAGAGTGAACTCTATTGTAAATCATATATTCATACTAAAAATGCACAGAATTCTACTCTTGATTTGTAGCCTAATTTACATATTTCTTGATTTTGTTATTGTTCTTGTTCTTGTATGTGGCCCATTCAGTTCACACGTTTTCTTTAATTAGTTTTTACTTACGAAAATAGCTTAATCATATGGTTCTTTCAAGAACATGATTTGATTGATTTCTGGGGCAAATTCATAGCTTAATATTTTGGCTAGAAGCGGAGAAATATAAGAATTGCGTCATGCGTGAATGCTAAGACTTCTGATACCATTTGGAAGGTTAGAAAAGTTTTTTACACATCAAAAGTACTTAGGATTATGAGTAAGAGGGGAAATTCCAACACTTAATTTTACAAAAAAAAATTAACACACAACTCACTTTGAAGTTCTCTCTTCTATCTCTCTAATTGTAGTGTGTCTAGCAGCTGCAAAGAAGCCCTCTTATATTTGAAGTTCTTACTCCTTGTGTGATCATGCTTATCTACCTATATATAGACGGTGGCTATGAAGCCAGAAAAAACTTTGGGCAAAGAATTTTAGACACATATTTGGTGTTCATCTAAACATAATTAAGTTTATTTGTTATAGTCCATTTACATTATAGCAGTGAAACACTAAATGTGATAAAAACAAACATGCATTCAAAATGTGATAAAAATGTACAATTCAAAGCTAAGAATCATAAATGTAGGTCCTTACCGAACGAATTTACCTTCTTTATCAACAAGCTTTTTCTGGGAAGTGTTCATCATTGAAAAACTCGCACGCGCTCAGAACTAATAATACATTTTGGTAGTTTTGTTAGATATTATTCTATGTTATCACTAAAGAATTTTATCAAAATGACTTTTATTTGAAATACTCTCCACATCAATTAGGAGCTCCTTTATCGATTTTTTCGCTAAGCATGTAATAATCAAAATAAGTAAGGTTAGAGTTACTTTTTAGGCTGAATTGAATGAAATTATATAGAGGAAACTTTAACTATTTTATTTAATTTTTTATTTATATTATTAATAAAATATATTTTAAATATAATTTTTTCACAAATTCAACTGAATCAACTAATCCAACAAATTGAGTTAGAACATCATAAATTTCAGTCGAATCAGCCAATTAAACCAATTTCTGTGTTACCAAACGTGCTTCTACATCTTTTAAATTTATTATTACATTCTTACCTTCATGTTGTATTGCTTTATTTGTACAAAATAAAATAATTCCAATATGATTATTGCAAGTCTTGATATTTGTATTGCTTTATTGGGGACATGGAACTGAGCGCAACGTTTGATGTGGATCTGTAATGATCCAATTCGCCCATGTGCTAAATAGGCCGTAATTTGCAGGAAGCATTTACCACTACCTTTTGGGTTGATAACGAATTAACCCAATATTGATATACGGAGTATTATTGGGCCAAAATTCTTTCACCGGTTTTCCATTCGATGGTTTTCAGTCTTAGACTAAAGAAAGAGGGGAATATAGAGTACTAATTTTTTTTTTTGAAAAAGATGTTTTATTAAAAAAAAAGAGTACACAAACCAAGCAAGGGAAAGAAACAAAAAAAAAAAACGGGAAAGAAAATGATGAGAAAGAGAATAAAACCAACCCCA